GTCTCCCTTTAGAACAACCTACGAACATTGGTGTCTTGGAGCCGGGGGCCAGAGGGGGGGAGTTTCGCTGTTCTATTCCCTCCTGGTAGAATCTGAAAGTAAATTACCCTATATGTTAGCTTGGGAACAAGACCTGGAAAAAGTTATTCCTCTGGATGTCTGCCATCAATGTTGTTCCAGTGTGTCATCTAGTTTACTCAATATTTCACTAATAGAAGCTAATTATAAGGTTTTATCTAGGTGGTATATGGTTCCCGCCAGACTAGCGAGAATATACCCAGAGGTTTCTCATTGTTTTAGGGGATGTGCTCACTCGGGCACGATATACCACATATGGTGGGAATGCCCCAAATTGAGACCTTTTTGGAACCGGCTTTATGCTCTAATATTTGGGGTTACTGGGGTGAGAGTCCCACGAGATCCCCAATATGTGTTGCTGAATTGCCCGATTCCAGGACTGTCTAAAGCTTTGGATAAATTAATTACTTTCTTTTGGTTGGCAGCCAAAATAACCATAGCTAGGGCTTGGAAAACGCCAACAATTCCATTCCACTTGGTTAAACAAAAAATGTTGTGGATTATGGTCCATGAGAAACTTCACAGCATCCTCCAAGATACTAAAAAAAGCTTTGAATTGACCTGGACCCCCTGGTTGTTATATACAGGGGTGCTGGAAACCGGGTAATTTTCATTGAACAATTTTTATGGAATTTTTCTCTGGGGACTATGTTTAATGTTTAAGTAGATGTTGGGCTATTTGGTCGGGATGGAGCTACTCTTAAGCTGTTCTGCATCCTTTAGCATCTATCTCATTTTCCTTTTTTTGTCTGTCTTTTTTTTCATTATGCTCGCACACGTGAGCGGTTTAGTGCATTGATGTTGGACAGAAAGTCTTCTATTTATATAGATAAGGAGGAGATCATAACAAATGTTTGCTGCAGACATAGGCGGATCCCTATGCCAGATATTCCTCTCAGACTGTTTTCAGTTTTGTTTTTGCTGATGGGGATAAATTGGCAAGAATAGGGTGATCGATATGATCTGTTTTACAGAACTATTATATATTGTGTGTATGGCATCTAGTGATCCCCCCCTACTACTTGACTATGCTAATGTGGAAGAATCTGAAATGCAATTGTATGCTATACTGATTGTGCATCATGTGCTATTTTATTGTTTAATTCTACTTTGGAAATTTAATAAAATACTTTGAAAGTTAAACACCAAAGGGAGGGGCTTTTAACAGAGCACAAAACTTTCAGACAAATTTAACAAAATGATATAGCATATACACTATAAAATAAAGGTCATGTTACCTGGCTTTGGAGCTCACTTTGCTGCTTTAAGCGAAGATTTTCTGGAGTGTCAGTCACCGTGGTAAAAGACTGTTTGGGATAATGTCTGAAATAAAAAAAAACACATTGGGAGGTGACTCAAAGCATTTGAAACAATTTTTTTCTGCCACTTCTTTCCTCCCACTCAAAAGTCCTGTACCCACTTCATGAAAACCTTGCAAGAGGTTTCTTAACCCCTTCATGACTGAGGACGTCGATGCTGGCGACGTACACTGTACGTCGTCAGTCACGAAAGGGTTAAGAAGTGCAAAATGCAACAGATTCAGGTAGTTCCTATTGGCACCACTTTCAAAATGGTTCACTATGGCTGCAACAAATTCAAAAAGAATTACTGCAAGTTCGTGGATAACGAAACTGGAGGTAATTGACAGTGGATGGCAAGTTATTGCAAGTTATTTGGACTTCATGATGAACCTGCTGTAAATTGCAAGTTATTTGGACTTCATGATGAACCTGCTGCTCACAGTTTCACCATCAGTCGCCTTGTTGGCGGTGGTGAATATAATAGCCACTATAGCAGCAATGGAATACACCCACTGCTGTCCACTTTCAAATTAGGTGGACCAGATGGGGAATAGAGATGGGCTCAATGTTCGATTCGAACTATGAAGGCATTCGGTGGGCCGTACACCCACAGAGCGCCCCACAATGCACTGCACAGTGCATTGTGTGGCGTTCGCCCGCCAAGCCCCCCACAATGCACAGTGCATTGTCAGAGCCCTGATTGGCTAAAGCAATGCACCTGACCACAGGTTAGGTGCAAGACTTTGCCCAATCACAGCACAGTGCACTGTGAGAGCCATGATTGGGCAAAGTAATGATGACTTTGCTCAATTATGGCTTACAGCCAAGTCCCAGCCCCACGCTATATAAAGCTGCTTACACTGCAGCCTTATGTAGTGTGTTGCTGGAGTTAAATATAGTGCAGTGTACTCTGTACTGTATATAGTATTATTTTCTGTGCTCTATAGTCACTGTTTTTTTTTGTTTATTTGCGTCAGTGGCCTCACTGGTGTTCCTCCATTAGCGTCACCAGTGTTCCCATTTTTTTAATTATTTTAACTTTTTTTTCCAGCAGCAGGTTTTTTTGCTGCCTCATTCCTATTCCCCCTTCCGTGTTGCAGGTGTTCCTCCTTTTGCGTCACCAGTGTTCTCATTTTTGTTCAGCAGCAGGTTATTTTGCTACATCATTGGTGTTCCCCCTTCTGTGGCGCAGGTGCTCCCTTTTTTTCTTTTATTTCCTTTTGCATTTTTTTTCATAATAAGCCATTGTACATTAATTTATAGTGCACCAAGCACCACATTCGATTAAGTATTGCACCAATTTCCCATCCCACATTTTCTAATAAAATGTTATAAGCAGCCCCGCATCATGTCTGAAAGGCCAAAAAGGAGACAGGTGTGTGACAGGTGCATATAATTTGATTTTTTTTTTACAGCAGGGCCCATTCCTGCGCTTATCAAGAGTAACTGTGAGGGGGTTACAGTGTGGAGGCACCAACACTAAAGGCCCATGTTTTCCACACCTGTGTGACAGGTATAAATAATTTGAATTTTTAGAGCAGGGTCCGATTCTGCACTCATGAAGAATTAGGGTGCTCATACACTGTACGATTATCATGGGAAATACCGCGATCGTACGATAGTCACAAAGTGTATGGAAGGCGTGCAACCGTTTCAACGATAAAGTGTATGGCCAGCTTTACACTAAAGGGTTACGGTGTGAAGGCACCACCAACACCAATACTAATTTTAAAGCACCTGTTACTTCCAACTGTTACCACCGTATATACTCATCCAACGTCTGCAAAAGAGACACCACAATTTATCCAAACAATCTCGAACCTAGTGCTGTGTTCTAAAATGTGACCTCTTCATGCTGGCTGCCTCCCCAGGCAGTTGTTTACAAAATTAAGGGAAAATCAATTACCGGCAATTTAAATGTCATTTTTTTCTTTGTCATTTTTGCTGCAGCGGGTTCTATAGATCGTACAGATGCGCCACTTTACAGGCAGTTTAAGGGGATCCCCTAGGCACGATATTGAAAGGAATTTTTCATTTCTTTTGTTTCACTTTACCAGTGTTACAAATCACTGCTCCTTTAACTAACTCCAGCTTCCTGGATGTAACAGGCCGTGTATATACGGCCTGTTAGCCCCGCCTACTCGTGTGCGCCGTGTGGAGAGCGGGAAAGACACAATTTAAAAACAGGCAGCGATGCCCGTTCACATACAAGCGATCCGCCGGTGGTACACGACCTCCCTCCGGTCCCCTCTCCGGTGTCAGAATGCGGAAGTTATGTATTTTACATCACTTCCGCATTCTCGTGTCACTCTCCAGCTTCAGACGCATAGGCGACATTAGGGGTCTTTGAGACCCCGGATGTCTCCATAAAGAGGACCTGTCACTTCTTTTGCTATCACATAGGGGGAATCTTAGCCCCCTGTGTGCTGACAATAAAGTTAAGCGGGGGGAAAAAATGAAAGTTTCCAAAAAAAATATTTAAAGTTACACATAAAAAAGAATTTAAAAAAAAAAACATTTTTTTAAAGTCCCCACCCATACAAATGCAAACATGCGTCAGGTGCGCATACCTGCGATATGTTTGGTGCCAATTTCCCTGACGTGATCCCGTCTTTTATATATTTTACAAAAAAATTGGGTAATAATGGTTTCACAACAATGTAAAACAAAAAACTTTTTTTTCAAAATTTTCAGTAATTTTTCTTTATTATAGTAAAAAATAAAACCCGCAGTGGTGATTAAATACCACCAAAGGAAAGCTCTACCCGTCCCCAAAAAAATGGTATAAAATTCATTTCAGTACAGCGTTGCATGACGGAATAAATGTCAGTCAAAGTACCGCAGCGCTGAATACTCCTCTCAGTGGAGTACACATACAGCCTCTGTGACTAGATCAAGTGAACCCTTCTAGCTCTGCATCCACTGGAGAAACTTGCTTGAAGAAAAAGGCAGGAAAAAAAACGTAAAGAAATAGGTTTCCTTCTCTCCATTCTCCTAGATAGCTAGCAAAAAACAGGAGCATGATGGGAGTAGGAGGGGTTGTAACAGTTTAAGTTGCAGCTTTGTTTGGTAGTGTGTCCAGTCTTCTGAACGCAGCAGGAAAAAAACTCAGTGTTTCAGAATTACTTTACCGTGTCCCTAAAGCTTGTCATACACCAATAGATTTTTTCTATCAGCCTATAGTCAGATGGAAAAAGTGCAACAGATTGCTCCATCTACGCTAAACTGTGTGGATGGAGAAATCTCCCACTGGACCCAGCTTGCTAGTCGGACCCGCTGGCTCTTAAAATACCGGCACAATGCCTGCATCCAATCAGATTGTTCAGGTATTTTGACAGCCAGCTGGGCCGACTAGCAAGATACTGAAGCTTGGCCCAGTGGGAGATTCCTCCATCCACATAGTTTAGCGTAGATGGAGGAATCTGTTGCACTTTTTCCATCTGACCGTAGAAATCTGCAGATAATCTATAGGTGTATGGCCAGCTTTAGGCTACAGTCACACTAGGTGATTATATGCGATTATGTGTGTTTATATATATATTTAAAATAGTTTTCTAAACACATATACAGTATATGCACCTAATGATTTCCAATGGATCTATTTAGGGATGCACCGATACTAGTATCCATATCGCTGCCGATTCCGAGTATTTGGGCGAGTACTCGCCCAAATGCTCCGATGCCTAGCACGAGTACTTCCGGTATCAGGAAGCAGGGCAGCGCGTCATTACACGCTGCCCGGTTTCCCGATTGGGCGGGAAGTGGTTCCATGCTCTCTCGTTGCCACGTGAGGTACGGTTACCTTACCTTAGTATGTGCAGCCTGTCACCCCCGGGGCCTCTCCAGCGAGAATGCGGCCTTCCTCCGGTACCCAGCTGGAGCCGTCTGGCCGGCCAATCAGGAAGCAAGTTCCATGAGATGACAAGGGAGCATGAAGCCAGCTTCCCGGCCAAATCAGAAAGCAGGGTGTTGTGTCATTACACTGCGCCCGGCTTCCTGATTGGCCGGCCAGACGGCTCCGGCTGGGTACCGGACGAAGGCCGCGTTCTCGCTGGAGAGGCCCCCGGGGGTGACAGGCTGCACATACTAAAGGTAAGAGGGGACTTTCTTGTTAATCGGGAAGCCGGGTGGCGAGTCATTACACACCACCTGGCTTCCTGAATGGGACTTCCGTTACTTGGTAATTGGTATCAGCGAGTACCGAAAAAAAATTATCGGTACTCGGTACCAAAATACCGGTATCGGTGCATCCCTAGATCTATTCATATTTTGCGTTTAGATACCTTTATCTGCAGTCAGTTTAGCGGTGTTTAGGAAAAGTAGAATATACATGAAAGTGAAGTAGGATTTCCAATAACTTGCGACATCACACCCCTACATCACCAAAGTTTAGCCACAATTGTTATAAATAATGGGTTTTTTTCTGATGTCATTAAACACAATATATCATATGCAGAAATATATAAAAATCCAATTTTAGTGAAACAATTAAAATCCATAAAATCATAAGACATTGGCAGTGATACCAAACAAGTATATTGTCCATCAATATATTAGTGGTTAAAGATGCCTACTGGACCTACTACATTTATATAAAAAGTTAGTCACATAATGTTGAAATAATTGCCAGAATCATTATCAGATTTAGTTATTGGAGGTCTAGACCAACGCGTTCCACACTTTTGTAGGGCTGAAACGAACGATTATTTTCATAATTGGTTAGCTGATTATTTTTTTGATCAATCAGATTTAAAAAAAATGTATTAAAACATTTATTATTTAACTTTAGGTCATAAATATTACTTATTGAATTAACCATTATGAGTTAATTATTAAATATTTATTGGACATATCTTAATTATTTCTGCATAGCTCTCATTCCTGACATATGTCACAGATAGAACTTATTCAGAAAGGACTTCTCGTCTGGACTCTACTAGACACTTTTTCTGGGGGAACGCGATTGGCTGCACGCTTGAATCCGTGTCCTGACGGATTCTTTCGTGTGAGCCGATTGGCTAC